GCATAGGTATTGATCTGGGCAATCGAAGGATAGGAGACCGCTTGCCAACGAGCAAGTGGAATAGATCGACCTCTTTCTCTAGCAGAATTGTGCAATTGGGGTCTGAAAAGGATAAGGTCGCCATAGATCAATCCCTTTTTTTATGCGGTACTCATTCTACTTCCGTTCAGGAGCGTAGTGGCTGTTGAATGCTATGTGGCCTAAAGAATGACTTTCGAGGGCCAGCCGATTTAGATTCAAGGTTTCTATCCTCCTAAACAAGTCTGGAACCATTCTACCGTTTCTCGGACGGAGAAGGCTTGGTTGGTCTGGGCGGAAACCGAACCGGGAGTTCAACCCGTAAGGTGTCATTTGCCCTCCGCCCCCTCCCCCTCAAGGGAAAGGGAGCCAGTCTCAGGGCACATCATTGGTTGGGAATTTTAGTCGAGTCCGTTCGACCCCCTTTTTGGGGGTTGGTACGACCCCCACCCTTCTAGCCTTTTGGCGTGTGTCCTCCGCCTCCCTCATCGTAGCTAGCGGGGGGGGGGGGATAGCACATGTGAAACAGGAAAAGCCGCGAGACAAATACGACCCCCCCCCCTTCTACCAATTCTCAGATTTTCCCCAACTTCCTGCCACTTTTTCCAAATTTCCCGAAAACTTCCCTACTTTTCCCAAAAAATTTTGCTGTCGAGCGGGGGGGGGTATATAGTACACATGAAACAGGAAATCACACGAAAAGTCAACGTTCGGAAAGCTGATAGTACGACCCCCCCGGGGCCGCTTTCCAGCAACGAGCAAGTACGACTTCTTTTCCCCCTCCCTTTCTCGTCCGTGAGCGAGAAAAATCAAACTATCAAAGTAAATTTTCTCAGCCCAAATACGACCCCCTCTCTGGGCAACCAAATACGACCCCCTGTTGGGGATTCCTCAACAACGATGTGCCCTGGTCAGTCTATTTCATTCTGATTCTCTGGCGCACATTTTCCTGTTCTCCCCTTGCCCAGATCGTTACTTTACTTCTCTTTGCGCCCATTCTTGGCAATCTCTTCGTCTCCGTTCCCATTTTTAATGTCTTACGGTACAAACGCAGTCCAAGTGATAGTCCTTTTTGTATGTGCTTAAGAATAGGTTGGTTAAAAATAGCTTCAAATTTCCCGTGAAGGAACTATGTTTGCATTGCGGGAACGAGCGCGTGCAGGCTATTTCTGTTTGTTTATGTAATTGCATTCGAATACGTCAAAAAGTCCCTTTCGCGAAATCAGCTGTGTCAATACTTGTGAGAAAGGCTGCTGCATACTACTAACTAGGGAAGGTCGTCAGGTCGAAGTGGCCATTTGTGATGAGATGTAGCTCACTAGACGTGCTTTTAGACGCTGATCTCGAATCTGCTTTCGAAATTTGCAAAGCGATTCTCTGAATGGAGTTATGGAGTTTTTTCACCGCGTTTACCACGCAACAGGTCATGGGATCGGAACCCTGCTGAGCTTAACTTTTTTGCTTCTTGCGCAAACGTGGCAAAAAGTGGTTTCGCCGTCTAAACTGCTTCAATGGTCACCCGAACATGCCTGAAGAAAAGTTTGCGTCCATATATTGCTGCGTTTAGGCTCCTTGTATAAGCCTTGTAGTGCAGGGAAAGTATGGGGCGTACAGGTGTCCGTCGCGCGCGATACAGGCATTTGCACGCTCAGCGAATGTCATATTCGTGTTCAGCGGATCAGAATACCTTTATACACAAGCTTCTAGCCAAATCTGGCATTTTGACCTGACTTCCATAAGTGAACCATCCATGGGTTAGTTCAGTTGATGTTCACACCTATTCAGCTGGCGATGCATTCTCCTGCACAAAGCCTTGTCTTGCCACTTCTTACGCATTCATTTTGTTACTGCTCCAGTTTTTCCCGTATCTCAAAGCAAATTCCTTCCAAAGACAAGCAATCGACAAGAAACTGGCCCTGGAACTATTGGTGACCATCATTCGAACAACTGCTACCGCACATTCCAAAGTTAGGTCAAGACATCACATCTGGCTAGAAACCTGTCCTCGAGGGTAGTTTTGCTTCCTGAACACGAATATGGCCCCCATTTGGCATTTGAGGGTTTTCTAGACTCGAAAGGAACATTCCCCACAAAATGCAAAAGAAATCCCCTCTCACGAATTAGAACTCTTCATCGCATGCCCGCGAACCAAGACTGTTACCACTACACCAAGCCGATCCTTGTGGCGGTGGTGCTTCCCGGCAATTCATGCGAATGGCTGGCAGCCGCACTCGACTCCGTCTTCTTTCACTTTAATTCTAAGAAACCTTCATAACTCGGTTCAGAGAATCGCTTTGCAAATTTCGAAGGCAGATTCGAGATCAGCGTCCAAAACACGTCTAGTGAGCTACATCGCATCACAAATGGCCACTTCGACCTGACGACCTTCCCTAGTAAGAAGGCCGTATTTCCAAGGTTATTCGTAAGGTTCGCACAACTCGTGTAAACTGTCATACAGTTTTTCATTTCAGTACACGATTGAAAGATATTGCGGACAAATCGAATTCCCTCGCGCAGACTTATCGATAATAGTGGTGAGGACAGGGGGGGTGGGGTCCCTTCTCAATTCGATTTCATATATTCATAGTATAGTTCGCTGCGGACGGTGGGGCGTGTGTGGCAGGATGAGTTTGGCACGGTGCCATATACCCGTTCTCCATCAGCAAGCAAGTGACAAGGCTGTGTTATGTCGTTCGTATCACTCGTTTCCCGACAACTGTTGTCGCGTAACTGCTTCAACAACTGACAGAGACCGGGTTTTTCACCTTGGCCCACTCATACTGCCTGGCACGCCCCGCCGTCCGCAGCGAACTACACTATGCGTACAGCATAAGTAGAGCAGGATGAAGTAGCGATACAAAACCAAGGGGGCAAACAACTACTGGGTGACTTTTCTGGTCTGAAAAAGAGAAAATCATAAAACTAGCAAGCTAGATGAATAGGTCCTCTGCAAGGTCTTCATCTCGTACCGCTAAAGGCGCTGGGCTTGTCGACAGTCCAATGCTACGGGAAGGGCCCGTCGTACTCTGGAAACCTCAGCGAGAGGTGTCGAATTTGGTCGATGAAGTGAGGGAGTCGTAACCGCTTTCGAGACAAGTGTTTTTGTTTCCGACTTTCCTAGGTTCTTCCCGTTCTGTTGCTGTGAACGTCCTTCCTCCCCCACGCACGACAGTAATGATTTAGAGGAATTAGAGAATTTTTCCGGAAAAATGGTAGAATTCATAGGATGTGGTAGAGAAGGGGAGGGGTGGGGTGTCGTACCAGAGGAGGAAAATCTGGGTGGAGGGGGGGGGGGCAATCGCGCTTTCCAAAGAATTTTTTTCAACGGCAGGATATGCCGTGATGACAGCTCTGCATCAGTTATGTGAACCATTCTATGTATTTTGGGTTTTCGATTCGGTGACATTTTTTAGGATGCTTGTTGGGAGTTTGGGAGTTTTTTTTGCGTTTTGATGTCATTAGCTTCTTGGTAACCATGCAGTTTATCATTTATACCTTTTTGGCACTGTCCCGGCTAGGTGAGGCATTTTGATACAGAACATCCAAACTATGGCGAACATTTTTTTGGAAGGGTGGAAGACGGTGTTGAGGAACGGTTCCATCTAGAAGAAGGAAGGCCATGTATAGAAAAGCTACTTCAAAACGCAATGTTTTGCTTCGTCCTCAGGAAGTTGAGGGTTTCTGTTCAAGTTTAGTATGAGAATAAGCCTGCGTGAGTGAATCGCTTTCGCCTCAACTTACTATAATAGCGCCTTTTGGCGCTGAGGTACATCACAGTGGGTGGGGAGAGAGAGAGCTGGTACTCAGCAGCTCCACTTCTGTGTAGGACCAAACCGCGACGGGTTCAGTTGTCTGTACTTTGCCGAGCTTGAACCTCGGGTAAGGGACTGGACGTGGTCGCACGGCCACGCGCCCTTTCCGACCTGTGTTAGCGTTCCTTTCCAATAAAAGTTACTTCTTTGATACCTGTTTTTGATACCTCATATTTTTGAGTTCAGAAATGTTGCTGTCGGCGGCGGACTTGTGTTGCTGTTGGCTGAAACTCAAGAAGAAAAAGCGTCCTTGTTTGCTGGAGTACCAACCATGGGAGATACTAACAAACCTAAATCGTACATGCTTCTGGCCGGACGAGTTTTATTGATATTCATGTTCACCTCGTTGCTACACTTCGAAATGAGTTTCTTGCAGGTAAATTCGTTTGGAACTTCTTTTGAGAGTCTTCTAACAGAGGAATTTGCTCTTGGCTGTTTTGGCTTACGAAATTATCGATTTTGTTGAAATCGCGCCTTTTTATTAAGGTGATTGAAATTGTTGTCGGATTTGCTCTGATTATGCTTGTATGTGTTGGTTACAAGACAAAGTTGTCCGCTATGCTTCTTGTTGTATGGTTGTTTGGCCTCAACCTATGGCTTAATGCTTGGTGAGTTTTTTTTTCATCCATCAGTTTCCCAGTGCGATGTTTTCTTGATGTTTCGCCCTTTTCAGGTGGACTGTCCCAGCTGATCGATTTTACCGTGATTTCATGAAGTACGACTTCTTCCAGACAATGTCTGTTATCGGAGGTATGCGCATTTGGAAGCAATTTCTCGATTTCATAGAAGTAACTGTCGCAGTAAGTAGAGAACCGGGGCGTTGATCCGAGTTGAGAAGGAAGAGGCGTTGCAAAAGTGTCATGTGCGCGATCCACTCCAGGATCCGAGTGATTCAACGTCCTAGTCCTCCAGTGGGATGACTTAACCTTACTCTAGTGAGTCGGTTTACTCCGTCTGGAATCCACTTATGTCGGCATGTGGTAAAAGATGATTTGTAAGGATTTAAGGCTTACTTACTCAACCTCAGAGAATTTAACCAAA